AAGCAGCAGAACAGGAATAAGTTTCCTCTGCGGGCTCTCTGGGCTCAGCCTTAGAGATAGGGTGAGGAGCTCGGACATTCGGGAGTAACACTGACTACAGCCGCTGCTCCTCCACATCGAAAGGAGCCAGCTGAGGGGGTTTGGGTGTCTGTCTAGGATGGCTCCCTGGGGAGGTGCTTCAGGTATGTCCAACCGGGAGGAGACCCTGTGTCACGCCCACAAGGGCGGGGCCGAGGACCGGTGGACAATTGGCAGCCAGTAGCGCTACTATTTAAACTGGCTTCTCCTGTGTGAAGTATTGTTGCCATTTCCGTATGAGCCTTACTGAGCGTTTTGCCTGTCTCCTGTCTCCCCTGCTTGTCCTGCCTGCCTTGTCCTGCCTTGCTGTTTCATCTGCCTTGCCTGCTCCTCGCCCTTCTCCGGCCTGCCTGATCCCACCTGACCTGCCCTCCTGCTCCGTCCTGCCCTGCTGCACTGACGATCCTGCTCCTTCTCCCTCGTTGTCCCCACGTCTCGTCTATTCGTGTAGGATTGACCTTCCCGGTGATTGACTTTTGCCTGTGCCACGACTATTCTTTTGGATCTCCCTTCTGGTTTTGGCTGCTCTTGGTTCTGTAAATAAAACGATTGGCTACTGCACTTCGGGGTCTGCCTCCTGCGTTTGTCCTGGTCATCACACTCTGGGGCAGACCCAGGACATGCTGGAGAGTTAAAGACTTCTGCTAGGGAAGCTATTGTAGTACAAAACTCCAATTTTTATAAGACACCCATATTCTCTTTGTTTTTTTTTTTTTTTTTTTTTACGTTATTTTAATTTTAATTAAAAGAAACAAATGCATCCATCTGTTGAATAGCACCCAGGAGGAGCATTTCCTACTGAATAGGGCACTGTTTGCTCTCACTTAAAGTTGGATGAATTTCTGCTGCACTTCTAGTCCATAATGGGACATTACACTGCAAGTACCATTGTATTCATACGCCACTTTACAATGTTTCATATCCATCCATCCATTATCCATAACACAATGTTTCATATTTAAGAGTGATTCATCCACTATCACTGGCATGTAGCGCCACCTGCAGGTGACATCCACTGGCGCATGGGCTACATGGACAAAGTGAGGTATCATTTGAGCATATATGTACCTTCAAACAGGACTGCACTTCAGTTAGTGACAGTCAACATCTAGGTGGAGCCCTGGTAAGCTTCACCTTCTCACGTAGCTATTCTGAAATTTTATATATATATATATATATATATATATATATATATATATAAACTCATAGCAATACATTTCCCATTTGTGATTTCATTATACTTTGCATGCAGTGTTAATTTTGACAGCAAATTTTTATTTAGTATTAGTTATAGTCTTTTGACTAAAATGTAATTTAGTTTCAGTCATAATTTAGTCTTCTAAATTATTTTAGTTTTAGTCTACTAAATATAATAAGATTATAGTCGACTAAAACTACAGTTGATTTAGTTGACTAAAATTAAAAGTGCAAAGTATAATGTTTAAAGTTTCCCTTCGATTTCTGAAAGTCAGTATGTTCACCAAGATGAAATGAAACCAATGTTAAGGAATGGTATTAAGGTCTGACTATGCAGTACGCAAACACAGATTCCACTCTTATTTGAAACACAAACAAGTGTTGATTTACCCAGAAACTGAGTACTGTAAAATCAGCAGTGCCATTAGTGCAAAAATAAAATCACTTCAAAGAAAAAGTCCATAGGCTATAATGCCACCAGGCCTGCTCTCTCTGAATATTAAAATGAAAATAAATATTTGTAATATTTTTATTTGCTATTGTTCACTGTTAAATGTTTCACCTGAAATTCTCAAATATGTTCAAAGGAAAAGACCAATAATGGCATCAGGGATATATAACTATTATCAAGAAAAAAATTCCAAACATTGAAAACATACTTCTCAACAGCTATCAGTGGCAGGAAGTGTAACCATTCTATTTTAGCATTTTCAACATCAAAATAATTACCCCAAGGCTACAATTCTATTAGTGTATAAAGCCAAAAATCAACTCTCCTCTCTTTCAGGTGATTTAGTTTTCCCTTTTTAACAACTGTATAAAGTAATGTTATTTGTTACATAAATTAACTCAAAAAAATGAAACAAAAAATGTACGTTTTCAGGGTTGCCAAATCTCAAGAATCTGGCATGATACTCACGCTTTCAGAGTAATGCAGAAAATTTTACGGCAAATCTATATTATTCCATTATAAACCTAAAATTAGCTATGTCAAAAGTGTATTTACATGGTTAAATACAAAAGCAGACTATTTACAAGGTAAGAACTGTTACATATGTGTGCAGACATCTCGAATTGAAAATCTCACTCCAGCCAGCTGGCCGAAGTTGGCAACCCCGTGTTTTATTTGAAATGTGTCTGAAAATAAAGGTCCTTGACGACAACGATGACGAAAATTTTTCGTTAACAAAATTAACACTGTTTGCATGACACACGTCAAGATAAAAGTATGTAATTTTTTTTAGGTTTTGTAACTGAGCCAAACTGAGGGGTCAAGGTTGAATAAAAGTAGTTTGCCACTACCCAGGAGACTAGCTCTTCAAACAGCTGAGACACCTGGATGCTGCTCTGTAAAAGTACAATGTATCCCTCTGAAAACTGAGGGCTTTTTAGGTGTGGAGGAGCTTGTGCCAGTTTCTTCCTCTGCACTCACGGCTGAGGGGGGGCACAGTGCCTCTGTTCTTTTTTATGCCATAAAAGCAAAGCATGAAAAGGGCTCTTTCTTGTCCCTAGAAGAATGGACCAGAGTACAAAAAAAATCAAAGGTGCTACCTCATCTGAGACTGTGATACTCATCCCCACAGCTGCCTGCTCCCCACCTTCATCAATGTCCAGAACCTCAGCATTCTCTGTCCTGGAAGCCGTGGGGGATGGGAATGTTTGGGTATGGCATCAGTTGCAAGGACGTCCCATTACTGGAAGCCTGCAGGTATGAGGCTTGGAATAGTGATAAGAGCCTCAGGGATCGAACTCTCTGGCAACTGAGGAGCTGCAGATGGAAGAACCGCCTCAGAAATGCCTGGGTGTTGTCAAAGATGTGAACAGCCAGAGAGAGGATCATGTGCCCCATGATTTCTGGAGCATCTTCATCAGCAAAAAGGCCACGTATGCTGTCAATGAGCTTCACAGCTATTTCCTAAGCACCTGTAATGGCAGCCAATGAAAAGTCTGATTGGATGTGGAGAGTTGAATCTGTCACATGCTTGTGCCCAATCCCTGTCGGCCTCTCGTGTGATTTGAGGACTTTTTTTGTAGCTTCTGCAGCTTTAGTCAAGATGTCCTCTCTCAACAACTGGATGACTGTGGAACAGTTCATTTCCACCCAGTAGAGGGTGCAAATCAGTTGCGCATCCACCTGTTTTATTGTTTTCATTTCCTTCCAAAAATTCCATAATACTGTACTACTGAAAAAGGTACCCAGGGCATCTTTGGTCACCGCTCATAAATACAGCTCCCTGATGAGCATTGGTAGGTCAGTGGTTATTTTGAAAGCCACTGTCTCCTCCTGGGCCCTCCAAGCCTCCTTTAGCCACAAGAATTTAGACCTGCAATAAATACATGAATGCATTAATTACATCTCCAGGCAGGGAAAGGGGAATTTCTCTCTGCCGACAAGTTTGCTAATTTATCAGGATCATGGTAAAGCACGTTGCAAAGTCAAGGCCAAAGTTACCTGTCAGTGGGAGCAGCCAGTTTTACTCGTAACAAAGTGAAATCACAGTTCAGCTTTTACTCAAGTATTCCACAAGGCAGACATATATGAGTAAATCCCCGTATCAGTGCGTCCTCCACTAGCCAGGCAGGACTTCGGATCTGCGTGCTGTACGCAGGGGCGCCGTAAGGGGGAGGAAAGCTAGGACGATTCCAAGGGCCCCTGAGTGACAGGGGCCCTAAAAAATTAGGAAAATAACTGGATTGGTTTGGACTGGGGGGCCTAATATGATATGCTTTCATGGGGCCCAAAATCTCTAGCAACGCCCCTGGCTGTACGCTGTAGGCAAGTCCCTTCCTGCGCCATAGCAACGGTATTAATAAACAGTGTCACCTATTGCTCCAGCAACATGGCATCCAGTGTGTGTGTACTTAATTAGCGTTATTGCTAAACTATAATTAAATACCATATCAGATATAAAAGGTACAAGGCAGTCCCTGGGTTAACAACGTCTGAGTTACGATTTTCTTCTTATTCATCTGCTTAATCTCCAAAGCTAATACAGATTTACTACAGTAGTCTTATTTTTTTTAAAAGACAAAGACATATGCACCCATGCGTAAATATATATGCATATAAAAATAAACACATATTAATACACAAATAAGGAAGCAGGCCCACATATCACATAAATATCGTGACTCATGATAAAAGATTAAGTTTTCACTCTACGCATTGGAGCAGCCCGCTAGTTTTATGTTCCCGCTGAGAGACGTGCCGCGTGACTCATTTTCCCGCATTGTACAAAAAAGTTATTGTGCACAAAGAGAAACGTTACTGTACAAAAAAGAAACTTTGTTTCAAGGTTTACTGTGCACATACAGTATGTGTTTGAAACTCATTTGTCTTATTGTTTAATGTTCAGTTTATTTTGTCTTCCAAATAAATTCACTTCATGTATTATACAATTAAATGTTGATCTCTTTTTTGTCCTCATACGTGCCCCCCCTCAAAAATAATTGGCCCCACTTTGGCCCCCCTGGTCAATTTGGTCTAGAATCGCCACTGCACGGGAGCAGTAAAAATAAAGAATGAAACTTTGCATTGGTAGCTTAGTTCTTTCCCTGTTCCACCACAAATGATTCAATTCAAGTGCTGTGTGGTAATTAGCACAAGGAGTTGAATCGGGTGTGTTAAATGAGGGGAAACCCAAAAATGTACGGGGCTCCAGCCCTCCAGGACTGCAGTTTAACACCCCTGGGTTAAGGGCATTTATCGTATTTGCCTAATACACCTGACACGAATTTAGTCTGCTTCAAAATTAGCTCTAGGGCAGTCCTTTTAACTTGGTTTATCTTAGTTAATTAAGATCTCAAACCGCACAAACTAGCTGGGCAGATACACAGAGCGCACCGTGGTTAGGCTGCATATCACATTTATTTCTGGGGTTTTGCGCAATAAAATGAAGCGGTACTTTGTAGCTATTTTATTAAATGCTGTTTAAATAAGCGTACTCTCTCGCCATCGGAAAGAGGATAGTAGCTCTTCGTGTGTATTAACTGAGAGATTGGGAGAAACTGATGTGTGATATTGTAAGGGGTGTGTTATCGCATCGGTAGGTTAAAGTTAATAAAAAAAATACGCCGCGTTTGGAATAAGCGATTCATTTCACGATGTTGACCGCAATTTTTGTAATTCGATTTGTCTTGCAAAAATTTTTAAGATTTTGCCATACAGGGTTATATGAGAATCGAACTGCCCTGGCGTGGTTTCCCATAGGCGTCCCATGCGGGTGCGCGGACAGAATCGCAGGGGGGTGCGGAGACGCCTGCCGGACCCTCTGTACCTCCAGCCCGGTGGCCGGATTGGTGCTTTGCACAGATGAGCGGGACTGCGTGTTGTTTGAGGGTGTTTCAGGGACGCCGAGGGGTAAACTGCCCGTGCCCAAAGCACCGCGGGGCAATGGAAATGGTGGGGTGACGTCACCGGTGAGGTAAGTACAACTCACCTTTCGGAGGAAGGGGGTGGATTCCCAAGAACTGCCTTGCCTTTCTTGCATATCATAATTTCTCTCTGGCAGTGTACGACGCTGTAGTAATTATCATTACCTAGGAGTGAGCCAGTAACTGATGTTTTGTTGTTTTCAGAAACTGTATGTGTTAAGATTACCTTTTCAATAATTTTCACTTTAGAAATTCCATGATTCTTATGGGTACGGGGTTTAATTTAACAGCTTATTCATCTGTATTTGTCCATTCTTACAGCTAATTTATTAATGAATACATTTGTATTTAGACAATACAATTGAAACCACAGTGATTGACAAACGTAAAACAAACTGCCAAACGATGCTGTTAGATGATTATGGCAAATGAACAAATGATTTATGAAAGCACCATGTAATGATCTGGATTTCTTGGTTAGTCAGAATGTTATAGCTGTTATCTGAAAGGCAGCCAAAGGGGAATTGAGACTTTTCATTACTCGGATTACTCTATATAGGCAGTGCTGCTTCATATAAGTCCTTTGTAAAACAAACTGTAGAAAATGGGCCTAGAGTAGGTGTCCAGATGGAAATCGAGGATGCCTGCTTTTGTGTTCTGCAAATACCACTGGGAAATCAAAACGTGTGTCATCAGTTAGAAAACAAACTTCAACAGTGCATGGGTTAATAAACCAGTTGTGGTTTGCTTAAGCCGATGAAGGTTTGCTGTACACATTCTTCATTTGGGAGAAGGACCGTGCTTTTCTGACTCTACTCACAGAATCTCTATAGTTACTTTACGCTTTCCACTGTTGGGTAACTGTTACGGTGCCTTTTCACAAGGCCTTGCTAATGGTACAAAGTCCAGGAGCCCCCAGCCCAGGATTGTCACCTGACAGGGGGGCTGGATGGCTTAGTGCTACATGAATGAGGTAGTGGGAGAGGTTCTTGTTCCACCCACCCAAGAAAAGCAAAAAAAAAAAAACTACAATTAAAGACCAGAATGACTGCAGATCCTCAGACAGAGAAGCCAGAAGATCAAATTCTCTTTACAGCAGGACCAGTCATCATCAGATCCGGCATCGCTGATGTGTGTGGCCCCAGTGTTATGTTTTATACTTGAGTTTTGTTAGAATTAAGAGAATTTTTTGGCATACTGATAGGGAGGAAGAGGAGGCCTCTGACAATCACATCGGCGTGAAGAGCAGCTTGCAGAAGCGGCTTGGTCGTATAGAGAAGACTTTGTGTGAGATGGTGAGTATAGTGATAGGGTTTGCTGGAGAGTGTCGGAACTCTTCATAGAATTGACTGGTTTGTTATTTAGTAGGTACTATTTCAAATAGAGGCTCCTATATGACTGCATGTGCATAATATGTCAATTCATATAATGAATACATTCGGTTCTTCTGAGGGTTGGTTGCATAATGACTTGAAGAGATGAAATGATTCCCTTTTTTTTTTTTTTTAAACCAGAAACCGCAAATGAAAATGGGGGTGGGAGCCTTTACCACTGATGTGTATATGTCACTAAGGACTGGGGAGGGTCCCCTTAGTGGATGAATATGCTGGTTATGCAAACCCCCTGCTAGGGCTGCTTGATTATGGCAAAAACTTCCAATCACAATAATTCTGGACAATATTGAGGTCAGTTAAGCTGATTACTCATTGACTTTGGAAACTGTCATGCATTTTATTGACCTTTTTAAAAACTTGTCTTTTTATCAGTGGATTTCCTTGAACTGTATAATTCAACTGAGAAATGAATAAAAATGGGCTGGAATGGGGTTACTCAGGATTTGTAACAAGACAGGAGCCTCATCGTGAAACAAAATGCGGCACAACTTGTTTTATCTTAATGATTTTGTTTTGATGATCGTTGGAAGCCAAAATCATAATTGATATGATGATTTGCCCAGTCCTATGCCCTGTTGCCGCTCAGCAGATCACAGAACCTGGGCTGAAAACCCTGTTTTGAAGGAGCGGTGTCTATAAACTGGGGTCAGGCGGGAAGCACATTCCACATCGTGCGTCGTGTCCTTTAAGCGAGGGTTAATGCGACAGCCTCCAGCCACAACTTCAGCTTCCTTCCGTTCTCGCTGCAGGAACGGCACCGACTGGATTCAATGTCCGCTACACAGCGAGAGTACGAATGCGAGATGGCGGAGCTACAGGCTGCTCTGAAGAGGCTGAACAAGGTGGCGCTGTGGCCTGCACCTCCTCCTAGGATGGAGCTTCAGCCTCCCCATCACAGCTAGACTTTACCTCCAGAGTGAAAGGACCTAATCTTCTGATGAAAGCTTGTCATAAGCAGCATGATGCTTCTGCTTTATCAGTATTTGTACACATTTTACCATTTGAGATTCCAGCATTGTCACACTTAATGAAAATGATGTTTTTAATGCCAGTAATAAGTTCTTTGTCCAGGTCATGCAGTATGTCTCTGGTTCAGGCACACAATATATTTTAGTACCTTAATCCTGAGCTTACTAAACCTTAAGACCTTGACTGACTAGGTCTAGAATGTCGCAGTTGCTTGTTTGTTACAGTGTGCGCTACCTGTGGTATAAATCTAGAATGTTCCTTTGGGATGACTGGTAACCTTCACTGTAGGAAAAGGAGCAGTTGCATAATGCCCTGATCAGAGCACAAGTGAATATTTCCAACATGCAAGTGGAGCTGGATATGCTGAAGATGGAAAACGTAGACCAGCGGCTTCGGCATGAGAGGTGAGGGGCTATCAGGATGCGTGTGTGAGTGAGAAGCTTCTCTCTGAGACTGACGGCTGGCTCCTCTTTCGTCTTCAAAGGGAGAAAAATGAGCTACAAAAGATGCTGATCGAATATCAGTCCTACTGCAGCCACACCAAACTTGTCCAGTAAGTGAGCAGTCCGTGTTCAGTATATGGGGGGAGTGGCTTTTAGCGAGTGAAAGTGGAGTTCTTATTCTGGGCGGACTGGCCAAAGTTGGCGAGCCCTCCTCTACCAAGACCTCATTGGGTGGAGGTGTATGTGACGCAATCGCTTGTCATGGGTACATCTTGGGTTTTGTGGGGTTTTGTTTGAGCTCATTAAACTGGATTGGGGAATTAACCTCACATGTGAATGGTCTTAAGCATTCAGGTTTTCAGCTGAGTAATCTGATCACTTTGAAACTGTGATCCTGAGTACAAGACTCTAAAAAAAAATGTTCTCTTCCACCCTCAAGGCAAATTAAGAGAAATCTGCATGAAAGCAATGATCTGTTCCAGTCCATCTTGGAGAGGACTGCAGAGTCCCGCAGTAGCAGGGTACGATCTGGATGTTCTCAATAAGATCAATTATTCTGTGATTAGATGCTCATCTGTTTATATCTATAGGTCCCATCAAAGGATGAACACATTTTGAGAAAACTGAAGCCATCTGTACAGACCAGCAGCAGGTAGAGATGTGAAAGTTATCATCCATGTTTTGAAGCAGATGTGTAATGGTACACACAGTTCATGGTTTGGTACAAACCATGGTTCTGGTTCAACGTTCAGTGCAATCTTGGTATAGCAGGGAAAACACAATTCTCCAAGTCATATGTCTAGAACAACCTGGAAAAAAATGAATAAGCATCTATATATTGTAAACATAAATATTTAAAATAAACTACAGTGGTACCTCAGAACTCGAACTTAATCCGTACAGAAGTCTGGTTCGAATCCTAAAAAGTTTGAGTTCTGATCGAATTTTCCCCATAAGAAATCATGAAAAACCACTTCATTGGTTCCTGGCCCTCAAAAATTACACCTAAATGTGTGTTTTTTTTTTTTTTTTTTCTTTTTTTTTTTAGCATTTAAACACAAAATTAACAGGATAAAACGAGAATATACTGTACTAAACACAACTAAGCACATTTATCAAAACAGCAATTTGTAAAGTGAGAAAATGTTTGGATACATTTAATGTGTAAAGTTTAAAAAAATAAATAAATAATAATAAAAAAAAAACCTGTCCGCTCCCTCCGTGTGCCACGCCCCCTTGTTAACCCCGTGTGGAATCCCCGTGTGATCAACTGTTTCTGGTTGTTGTCATTAGTCCTCTGCATTTAATCCGCGTTCAGTTTGTTTCCCCAGTCCGGTCATTGCATTGTCTGTCTGCGTTTTGCCTGCCTTACCTGTAATTAAACCCCGTATTCGCCGATACCCTGACGTCTGCGCCTTTGTCTCCGTTCTGTCCCCGCTCGGCACAACAATATTATTATAATTAAATGTATTGTTTATTATTAGTGATATTAAAATAAGAATTTCTAAATGTATTATATAGTAATTACTGTTACTGTCTATCATTGTCTAAATGTATTTTTACTGTCTAAATATATCTATTCAGCTAGTGTAAACATGCAGGATGCTATCACAGCGAATGCGAGGCTGAGACTGAAGCGTTACCCTTTGTTTCCGCTGAGACGTGCCGTGTGACTCATTTCCCTGCGCATACAAGTTATCTTAGGTCGGCGTTCACGGTTTGACTTCTGAGATTCAGATTGAGATCTTGGTCATTTTTTTTTTCTTTTTCGAACTGATTGGTTCGACTTTTAAATTTGAGTTTGAGTACTGCGGTACCACTGTAACTGAAAATGTAACAACAGTCTTAATGAACTAAATCCAATCTAAATTTTGTGTATTTTGCTACTGAGTGTGATCTTCAGCAATAAACACCCCCATAGTCATAGTTATTTTAGCCTGTTCTGAATTTCCTGGCTAAAATGTTTTAGATGCGATGGGGAGACTAACTTGCAGAGGCAGTTTCTGCCTGGCTCCAGTCATACTCACACTCGGCTCAAATGAGAGAGCCTGTTGGATGTGTTTCCTGAAACACAACCGATAGTCTTATCAGCCATTCTCTCTGATGCTGGTGTATTTTATTGGGAAATAAAAATGTTCCCAAATTGCCGATTTTATGACTGACTGACTGTTACCAGCCTTAGTCATAACCTACTCAAAGCCACAATTAGCATAATGTTTGCTGTGTTTGTGAATTTAGGTTCTCCCCATGTCAATAAATGAATGCACTCTTTTCATTGTAGGTACTGAACAGAAAAGGATGTACTGAACGGCGCAGTTATTCGTGTACCATTGCTGCTCTATTTAGAAGCAATTAGTAGTAAAACTAAAATAAGATGATCCCTGAGAGATCTTTCCTATGTTGTTAGCTGGGCTGATCAATACCTGGACAGTGGACTGTCTCTGTGGAGAGATGAAGAGGACAGTTCAAGCACAGAGTTTGACTGTGAGGACCACCAGGAGAATCTGGACTCTCCTAGCTCTGATGCTAGCGTAAGGTTTGCTATGATTTAGATTTAATTTTACTGTTTTTACCTTTCATGAGCTTGGGCAGTAGATGTTAACTTATTGTTTCAGATTCCTTACTCAAACCCCAATGGGATGGACTCTGTTGCTCCCAGCAGACGTCAGTCTGTCTCATCCACCCGTAGACGTCTCTCAGCCTTTCCCATCCAGGTAAAAAAAAAAAAAAAAAAAAAAAAAAAGACAGACATGCTGGGCAGGTAATGAGTTGTGTTTCAACAGCATTTCATTTAACTGCTCTGATCACTGTGGTCTCAAGTCTCTACATTCTTAAAATTGAATAGCAATGAGATGAATGTGGCTTTGAGACTCCTGGTTACATGTATTTACTGTGTAGTCAATTACTGCCTCTGACTCCAATACAAACCAACAGGAAATACCTTTAACCTGTCTCACTTTCTGACTAAAGCAGGACATAGCAGATGTCAAAGAGACTTCACCTGTCTACAGACTAGTTCTAGCTGGAGATGCAGGAACAGGAAAATCCAGCTTTTTGCTTCGACTCAGCACAAATGAATTCAGAGGAGATATTCGAACCACTTTGGGTGAGTAGGAAACTATAGCATGGTTCAGGCAGATTCTTGATGTCCAATTTAAAATGTAACACTTTCTAAAACCAAGATCGGACCACTTTTCTTATGGACAACCTTACTGATTCAGGAGTGGATATGCACATCAAGAAGATGTTGGTAGATGGAGAAGAAACGACACTACAGATCTGGGACACAGCAGGGCAAGAGCGGTATGGTCACCAACGACAAGCCTAAATTTTGTCACTGTGCATTTTAATGACGTAATGGCCGTTTCTTGCCCCAACAGCTTCCGCAGTATCACTCGGTCATATTTCCGCAAAGCCCACGGTGTGTTCCTGTTGTATGATGTCACATCTGAGAGTAGTTTCCTCAGCATCAGAGAGTGGATGGACCAGATCCAGGTACTAACATGGTGTGTGTACAGGTTTCCATTGTGGAGAAAACCTTTGTATTGGTAGACAATTAAGGTCACTTAAAATGTGGATGGGAAACCTTTTTAACAAGTGTGCAAAGAGTAATAGGAAAATCCCTTGATTACCCTACTTTCAGCAGTGGGCCCGCAATAGTGGACCTCCTTAGACATTATAGTTTTCAACCTCAAATCAGTAACATAGTACTTGCTACCTCCTGAAATGTCTCTGAAGTTGACCTTTTGAAAAGTGTCGGATGTTAATTAGCATAATCATTTTTGTGTGTGAGGGTTCAGCAAACCCCAGAGGGACACAGCGGATGTCAGTCGTTCATTCGTGTTTTACCAGGAATCCATAGATAAACCTGTGTCAATGTGTGTCGTCGGAAACAAGGTTGACCTCCGGTCCGAGCATCCTGAGGGAGGCTGTGTTGGCACCGGCAACGGGGAGAAGCTGGCATTGGTGAGGAGAATCCGTTTTCCCATCCAAAGATCAACCCGGAAGCATCTTCACTTGTGTCTGTTGGTTACAGGAGTACAGTGCTTTATTCTGCGAGACCAGTGCCAAAGACGGAACCAACATTGTTGAAGCTGTCCTTCACCTTGCAAGGTAAAGCCTGTTACCGACACACAAAGTTCCCAGTTGTTCTCTTGCTTGACCGGTTTGGTCTAACCAGCCTGTTCTCACTGTGTTCAGAGAAGTAAAGAGAGTGGTTTTGAAGGAGCCTTTGGAGCCACATGTGAAGCTAAGTCTAGAAGATGAGGATGAGAAGGAAGGAGCAAAGACTGCCAGCAGACGCTGCTGCCGAATGTAGCCTTTGTGGAATTCCACAGCAGACAGCATGGACACGCATGTACATCTTGGCAGGATCCAAAATGCAAGTTTATCCAGTTAAACAGCCCAGTCTGCCATGTTGGTCGTCTTTTCATTGTCTTGCAAAATTGCTAAACTGTTTTATTGCGAAATTATTCCTTAGCGAGTCATTTTAATGTCTTCAAAACTAAATTTTAAATAAAAGCTTAAGTGTCTTACATTGTCTTAAACTGTTTTAAAAACTATTTTGTGATCCATGCTATGAATGAAGCGATTCATTGATCACGTGATTTTTGTATTAACTGGGTAAGTTTCATAATATAAAATCCACTTACCTTTTGAGAAAACAATCTAAGACTTGGATCAGCTCTTGGTACAGACTGCATTCTTGGTTTATGTAAATCCTCCTTGGTCTTTTGTGGAAACAAAACCCTCCCACTGTCTTGGAGTGCATGGCTGTTCTTAGGCTGCCATATGAAATCTGAACAAGTCATCAGTCTAATTTCTTTGGCATTCTCTAAAACTGAGCCACACTTTTACTGAATGAATTAAATTACTCCATTGGCTGCAATAAACCAAAGTCAGGGTCATTCCAGATTGACTAACTAATTGTAATCAAGCCTTTAACACCCCTATACTTTTGTGAGCTCAGTACCCAAACAATCCAGTTTTTTTTTTTCTTCTCCATTTTCCTTAAATACTATCAAGCACAGTTTGGGCGAGTAGAAAACTTCAGTTTTTCTAATACAATTCAAGAACCAGTAGACATAGGAGCAGCTTCTTCCCTCAGGCCATCACCCTCATAAACAGCTAAGCTGTCACCTGCCCCCTGTCTACACTCTACGTCGTACCTTAATAATGTACAATGTTACCCACGTGGGCTTGTATATAATATTTATGTTTCACACTTGTAATTTTTTGTACAGTGTAATTATTGTTTGTTTGCATAGTGTCATTTATTGTTGTATAGCTTGTATAGTGTCTCTATGTACGAGAGAGTCTCAAGCTGCCGGAACAAATTCCTTGTGTGCCCCAGCACACTTGGCGAATAAAGGCTGATTCTGATTCTGAAGAACAATTAGAGCCACACAACACTGTCCACAGAGACTGTATGCATCAGAAATAAGGTTTAATTCTAGATAAAGAACAATGCAACTTGGCAGGAACTAGAAAGCTACATTTATGTGTCAAGTCTGGGGTGCACAAAATACAGGATAAAAAAATACAAGATTTATGTAGATCCAAACTTGGACGGTCCTGTGTCTGCTTTATACATGAAGTGCTGCTCAGAGGAAAACCTGTGCATAATCTGAGAAGGCAGCAAACAAGCATTCCAGAGCAGGTGGCCACACTGTCCACCACATTAGAGATTACAAGAATGCAAGTGTATCTATGATTTGGAACCTAATCAGAAAGAAAGATCCATCCTCATAAACGTGGAGTAGCGTCTCACGCTGAGGGAATCCTGAGCCACCGGATTCCTTATTTGGCTTTACTATCTTGCTTCTCATTGGCTTTCTTCTGCTTTTCCTGCATTATCTCCGCATCCCTGTGGAGTAGGAGCAGCAGATAGGATTCTTAAAGGCTTCAATCACCATCTACTTAACAAGCCACAACATCAAGAGCCACATGTGCACAGAGAACACATACATCCTGACTGAGCTCTGCTGCAGGCCTGACACATACCTTTGTTTCCTTGCAGCAGCAGACAAACCATCATCATTTCTCTTGCCCTTGGTCATATCGGTCTGCTTCTTGGCATTCTTCTGACGGGCCAGTTCACGCTGGTTTCCCCCTGAAAACCATGTCCAAGTAACAATCTTGTGGTTTTTCAGGTACAAATAAATCTTACATCCGGACACATTTTGCTGAAATGGTTCATATTTCGCTTGATCGCTTTTAAGAGTCACTCTCTCAAATCTGTCATTTCTGATAACTACTCCATCTATTGCAGAAAACAACACAGACACTACAACAGGATCAGTTTAAATTACAACTGCACAATTTAAGATGTGAGAGTTAGTGAGTGATATTACAGGGTCAGAGGGCACTTTGCTATTGAAGTCCGAAAAAACCCCACCATTCAAACAAAACTAACCATTCTTACCACTTACGTAATATTAACGAAGATGTCCAGGGCATACCACAATTATGTAAATTTGGAGCAACAGAAGATCAAAGCCAAAAACACGGCAGTACCGGGGGCGTACGAGCAGCAGCCTACAAGACCTAATCCAACGGTCACCATGCGCTTAACGCCGCAGCGCTGCGCCGACAGCCTGGATGACTGCAGACTATTAGTGGTCCGTCTACACCCACCTACATTAAACGTGTTTACAGGTGTGTAGCCGCTCCCCATGCTGACGATTACGAAATCGGACTAGTTGGTAAACAATAACAATAACAAAGGGATGGGATAGGCCAGGAGAACGCCAGCGACTCACGTATGCTTACTACTCACTAGCCAAAATGACTGCACTTAATTCAGTAACCAGCCGACTCGGTTACGCACAAACATACCGAGGTTTAAGCACTCAAGTCGATCTACACGGCTGACCTAAACCCGGCTAGTCCAGGCTAACACTGGCTAAATCCGGTTAGCTACAGAGCTAGCAGCTCGACTTTTCTGCAGACCTCGCGGGAAAAGACAACCAAACCACCCAAACATTGACAGCGATTACACCACTAAAGCAAGCGAATTCTGGGGTACCCACTCGTCATCTTCGCAGTATTGAGAGTTTCCCAGATCCCGAGAGGCAAACCCAGAGAGCCGAACGCCTCCTCTCCACCTTCGCTGTCTTCGTTGTCGTCTTTTTCTTCTTCTATATTTCAGTGGTGTTCCGCTAACCAACTACACGGTCACAGCACCACCTTCAGGCCTGGAGTATTATAGGCTCCCCCGCGGACCGAATCAGCTTCACCTCAACTTCCTACGACAAATTGCATGCGTCAGAAAAATAATTTCACGTGAGAAGTCCAGAGTGCAATTGAACCTGCGGGACAATGCTTTAAGGAACGGGTGGCAACCCTAGCCTGCTTTGCAGTCACTCTGACAGGATTCTTGCCTGTTTGTCCAAGTATTTTTTCTCAAATTTCTCTGCTTTTTTCACACAGTCCAAAGACATGCAGTTTAAGTGAATTAGTGTTCCTAAATTGTCCACAGAGTGTGAGCTTTATCCAGAACCACCTCCAAAGGTAAGCTGAGATAGGCTGCTCACGGAGACCCCGGTTGGATAGGCTGCTCGCTCATGGAGAACCCAGTGGAATAGGCTCCTCGTTCACGGAGAACCCGCTGGGATAGGCTGCTCGCTCATGGAGAACCCGCTGAGAAATAGGCTGCACTCTCACGGTGACCCCGCTGGGATAGGCTGCACTCTCACGGTGAGCCTGCACTCCCTGAATGGTGATGTGAGTGTTCTATTATTACACAATTAGCACTGCTAACACATGGGCAGGTAACACCTGAGGATTGATAAATGACAGCTTATCCTTTGAAACAAACTGACAAAAACAAGAGAAATGCACAAAGGTCTGGACAGATCTAGTGTATTAAGTCATAGTCAGTGTCAGACTTCTTTAAAACAGAGCGTGCCCATGGATTCTTTAGTCAGACAAGGTTGTTCAGGCTCTCCTCCTGTAAGAAAGTATAGGTGTGCACGTTCTACTTTCCCTTCTCCAGGACACACTTGCTTTGAGCTTCGTCCTGCTCCTGATCAGGAGGTGAGCTGTGAGTTAATTCCTCGTGGTCAGTATCACTGATGTCAGCAAACTTCCGAAGGCTACTGCCAGGGCACCAAAGAGGAACTTCCAAGGAATTTCCTGAAAACAAAGAAAAATGGAATTTTAAAAACTGGTTGAGGTGAATCTGGATTTTCCCTTCCCCAGAAGTGTGTCTGCATGCTTACTGAAGCATCCTTCTCTGACGATTTTGAAAACGGTACAATGTTTTCCCTGAAGACCTGCGCGGGTTTCCGCTTCCACGTTTGAGTTTCGTTCTGTCTGGCCTGTCTCTTCACCAGCTTCGACAGCTCCACGTGGATGGCCTAGAGAAAATCACACTCTCTACAGACCTGAATAATATTCTCAAGGACCATACATTATTAACCAGCAACAGGGTTGTAAAGGAAAACTGGGAAAACTTCAGAACACAAATTAATGACATTTTCCATTTCACCAGCAGGAGGCAGCAAAAGTAAGTAAACTCATGATTTCTTATCAACATAGTAACCATAGTAACTTCCACTTGCTGATCACAGAATAAATAGCACAGCAAACTGTGTGTGTATTTTGAGATATCATGGACCACATTTTGATCACGCAGATGTACGGAGGGTGAATGTTTTGCAATGCTGCACTTTTGTTAAAATAGATTAATGCATATAGTGCATTTTGTTTTTAACTGAAATTACACAGTCATGTGAAATGAAAGTTCCCTGTCATTTTTCCTATTAAGTCTCTGTTTATATTTTAATCAGTGTGTTTAAACTAATCACAAATATTTAACAGAGTCGTTAAATGGTGATCATTGGGTGGATTGTGTGTTTTGAAGGAAAAAAAATCACGGGGGGAAACATCGTTAAATATGTTTCTGAATCTGCTCATAATTCACACGCATCAGCTTTCACTTGGTCACTGATCAGAGTTATTGTAATTTATATTGTATATTTATTCAAACAGACACAATTTTCAAAAGAATAGAAAAAAACAGTTTGAGTCACACACAGTTGTTTCTGGAATCTGAAATATTTCTCTTATTTTTCATGTTCGCAGATATCAATATATGTCCCCACTCAGCTGAGACCAAAACAGTTACCAGCTGAGAAAGGTCAGCAGAGAATTGCAGCAGCGACGGCTGTCCGTTTGGGGTGGCACCTTTAACTCTCCTCCTGGAGTCCTACCCAAGCAACCAAGGTGTGTTTTGATGGGGTTCTGATTTTCTGTATCATCTTTCCTGTGAAGATACAGTTTCCTGGGGCCGTTTGTAACATGAAACATTAATAGACCAAACTGCTTATTTAAATATTTTGTTCCGCTGAATCTTGGACATAGGGAAATGACATTGTAAGAAAATATCATATTTGAATATTTCAGAGCTACCAGACCAGTCATTCTGCTTTTTAAAATGTATTTGCATGTCTATGGCAGTATGTTAAATTGGTGTCTCTGTCTATATAAAACATTTTTAGAAAGATTATTTATGCTAGATGGCCAAAATCATGGAGGAAGTAATTGAAATACATTAGGATGCAAAACAGCTCTTCTTGTATCTGCTAGAGGTCAGGTTCTGAAACAGACATAAGCCATGTCGTGACAGGTAACCTCTTAGGAGCCTGGGGCTGTACCGACCCCAAAGGCCATTTCAAAGCACGTTCACACCTGAGGGGCAGCCTTCCAGGTGGCAGAGGAGAAGGCCTTCCTCAGCACATGGAGCACAGCGTGGATGTTTTCACTTTGTTTAAATGGGTCTGGCTTACTGCCAGGTTCGAGACTACCGACAAGGCAGGCATAGACCAAAGAACATCTGCCACAGACCAGAAAAAAATCACAAATAATCACAAAAAAGGACAGAACAAATTTAGAGAGTCTGGGGTTTGGGTGCAGAGTGCAGCAGGAGAGGCTGTTGCTGTTTGTTTAAGCTTATAAATGTCACCGAAACAATGGCTTAATGGTAAGACTGTTCTTCCATTACAAAGCACTGTTAGCATAGGTTGGTATCAAAAGGATCTATGTTTTTGGTATTCATTCTTTGGGGGAGGGGGGTGCACCAGCTGAGCAGAGTAACTCATGAGAGTCTTCCTGTCAGAACATGTCTTGCCATCCATTGGTCGGAGGTACAGCAAGGGTGCTGACTGAGAGTATAAACACATTGTAAATCTCGCAGTGCATTTTCACCAGCAGATGGGGACACTAGGGCGTTGATGATGTCATCTGCTTGGCTACAGGGCCTTGAGAGCAGGGACGGGGGAGGATGTTTGGGAGATGCTCAGAAGACACACCTTGGTGGAAGGCTCCAGCTTCAGGGCCTTTTTCAGCGTTTCCAGAGCCTCGCCGAGCTCCCCTTTGTCCGACAGCAGCTGTGGACAGAGGGCAGTGTCACTCGCCACCAGAGGTGAAAAGTTCAGGTCCAGAAAGGACATATCCAGACCAAAATTTTGTTTCAATCAACTAGTTGCGTGAATGTGACTCTTTATGCTCAACTGGTTGGTTAAAAAAAGTTTAGTCTGGGTCTGTACTTCTTCTACCTCTGCTCACCATGCGTGTGGGAGTTTTACTTTCAGAAAAATGTTCTGTGGGCAGAAGGAACCCTTATTGTTTCAGAAGGAACAATGATTGGTTATCTCTCTGAAGCAATCAGATTGTAGAGGAGGTAGGTCCAAACAACTAGAAGGAGGCAGGACCAAGACATCTGATTGGTTGGTCCCGCCTCCTCTAGTTGCTTAGATCCATCTCCTCTCCAGTCTGATTAGTTATTTCCCTGAACCAATCATTTTTCCATCTGCCGTCAGAACATTTTTGTGTAAGTACAACACCCATGAGCACTTGCCACAGGCCAACTTTCCAAATTTCAAGGCCACATACCTCCAAAAGTTCCCCAGTAATGAGCAAGCTGCTAACATGTAAAGGTGAAACCTTAACGCCCAAAAATGCCAACCTGGCGCAAGCAAAGTGTGAGCGGTCCCACCCAGCCCCATCATTCCAGGTTTGTGTCGCTCAGGCATGTCCTATGTTGGACAGGATTTGACTTTGGCTCCTTACCTTTCCCATCCTGAAGAGGGCCTTGACATTGAGGGGGTCCAGGGCCAGTACATCCCTACTGGTGCTCAGAGCCTCATCAAACTGCTCCATCTTCAGCTGCGCTGTGGCCAAGTTATTGAGACACTTGATGTGGTATCCCCGTACCTCCTCCTCCATCTCCGTCTCCAGTGCACTGTCCCAGTCTGCAAGGGGGATACAGGAGAAGGTCCTGCACATATGGAGGACATGAAGCTTTAAATGATGCTGGGAGTTTGGGGGGATTGGCCAGGACGCTGGGGGATGGACATCACGCTTCCTTACCCACAACGGAGGTGATCCTGGTGGCTGTAGAACTTTCTTCCACTTTTTTCACCCGTATAAAAACACTGTCCCTATATATGATGTCTTATTCACCGCCAAGGAGACGACATCCATCAGAGAAAGGAGGAACTCACAGAATTTTGACAGCCACTTGCTTTGGCAATGAAAACAGCCAGTATGGTTACCAGAGAGGTGGGACTTTCTGTGGAAATTAAGCCTCTGGCCAACTGTCAGGAAGTAGCCTGTAGCTAAACTGTCGCTTTTAAGGTATAAAGGACTGTCTTCAGCTTCCATAAGTCAATAAGGGTGCGTGGAAATCTGAGGTACAAGTCTCATTGCACTGTAACGTTGCTGGGAACTAAGACCCAATTTGCATGCTGCCTGGGTTCATGGGCCGTATCTGAGGATTATGGGCTGCTGGTGTGTGGGATCTCTGATGTCTCTGGAGGCTGGTGAGGGGGATCCTATATCCTGCCTTTAAAAAATTACAAGCTTTCATCCTAAGCTTTTTCCCACCATTTCTGTTCTCCTGTGTGAGACAGATGACGACAGTTGAATATATAGTTAGGCTGGTGAATTTTGGGAAATCCTTTGGAGGGCAGCACTGCTTCTGGACCGGGAGGTTCTCCTGTGGGTATCATTATGATTTTTACTTGCTGATTTCAGCCCCTTATACATCTGGAAATATGCACTGCGATGGTTTCCCTCTTGAAGGTTTGCAGATCTCTGTTGGCCCGCAGCATCTTCCTTGGGGAGGGTCACACGCCCAAGTACTCTGTGTGTTAGCTCATGTGCTCCTAAGCCCTGACAATGCTGTTTAGTCCCTGGAGTCAACCTTCACTGCACTCATTTCTGGTGGCTCTCGGGTGCTTTATTCTGCATTTAAAGCAGTTTGTGAGGTCAGGGGACTTCATATCCTGAGATATATCACTGCCACATGTTTACAGCAGTAGCTGTGCATATACATGGGTTGTTTCATGGGCAGGTCATTGAATTTAATGAAGATTTGTATGGATTATTACTATAAGGCTCAGCTCAGATATTTTCTTTGTACACTAGATGAGGTGACATTTAGGAAAGTCAAAAGGGTCATTACAGCCACCATTCTGGGAAACGAGACTGTGTATTTTTTTCAGATTTGTTCTCATACCAACCCACAGTACAAATGACAGCATATGGCCGCATATGGCCTAATGCTGAGGTTTACCTCTGGATGTTGTGGTCAGGACATCCAGGGCCATGTAGTAGACTCTAGCAGCCATGCTGTAGTCCTCCCTCTGAAAGCAGAAGTTGCCTCTCTCCCGTTTCTGGTTGCCAATCCGTATGCGGTCCGGGATCGAGAGAGTCAGGGGGTCTGGTTTGTCCCTGAAACCCAGGAGTTGGACCTCATAGAGCAGAGAGGCCCAGGCTGGAACATCAGGGTCTCTGCAGAGACAGTCATGATGTTTCTACTGAAACAAACTGAAGACATCAGTCCCTGCTTCATCAACATTGTGCTCCACAAGTGTCTCGGGGAAGTTGGACTTCACAAAGGAGCTAAATCTCACATCACTGACACTGCAAAAGGTGTTTAAGTAAACTTCCCTACGGAGAACATACAAACTCCACCCACTCTGAATGCAGGTAGGATTCATACCCCCTGAAACTCACTGAGCCAACCTAAACAAATTCCCAGATATAAATATACAATTTCAACTGGTTTAACTCTAACAGACATGCACAGGATTACTAATGTTGACTAAGGTGGAGAAAAAGTGATGTCAGCTCACTAAACTAAACATAGAGAATGATCATTTCCTAATGCCAGCCTGCTGAGACCATTACCAGTTGTCCTCGTTGTTAGTAGTGCCATGTGGTGCTGTTTCTGGTGACAGATGATTTCAAAGGACCTTCTGCTGTTCGATATAAGGGCTTTTTTTTTCCTGAGGAAACTCAGGAATGACCCGAGTTCTGTTTATGAAAATTCTCCAGAATGCTTGCCAGATGCCTGTAAATGAGAGCAGCCTCACGCTTAACAGAGTCTGCTGTACATTGTGGTCACTTTATTGGGGTGGGAGCCTCAGCAGACGGCCCAGCCCGTCTGGGACCGTGCCGTTTCCACTTTCGCCACAGATGCTTTCAATCCTGGCTGAGCATGGTCCCCACCACCTGCCAGAAGAATTCGGCAAACAGCCGCTTTGCTGGACTAGTGAGGGTGACAACTTGACTGTCGTGTAGGAACTGTCCCCCCTTCTCATGTGACACCCTGTTCCTGATGATGGAGAACATCGATTCAATGGGATATTGTCCAGGGACTGATGCTGTGATACCGGCTCATGTCTATGCTGTTATTGTGGGATTTTCATAGTGCCTTCACACCATATACGCTTAAAATGTCCCTCTACAACCCATTATATACTCCCACTATATATTTTCATATGGATATACTTATTTACTCATTTGACACTATCACCTGTCACTTTACTACTAAATGTTCACTATTAATGGTTATTTATGATCATTGTTTATTGTTTAATGTTTAGTCTCTTTATATTTGTGTTTTCTGTTACCGCAGTCTTGGAGTTAGACAAACATTTCGCTGCACATTGTACTGTATTCCTTAGTATATGACAACTAAATCTTTGATTTGATTTGTACGGAAGAACTTGGTACCTCCAGACCTTGTATCTCATCATGCTTTGAGGTCTTTCTTTTCTGGGGTCTGTGATCTCTCATTTCCACCAATCACTAGTGATTTTTCCTGTTGACCCCCACAAGTTAACATATCTAGGTAGTGCAGAGAGCTGAGCTGCAGCACAGCTGAAAAACGCTGATTTATGCAGTGACAGCCTCTGCTCAGTCTGGCCTCATACACGATGCACGGTTTACGAGGCCCATTACATTCTAGCCACTCTGTCATCCAGACAGCACTTTGGCCCCTGTGTTCGGTGATTTATAGTTTCTATTGACTTCAGCCCATGTGGGCATAATCTTACTTTGCTGATGATTTGTGTGCCTCGCTGTTAAACAGGGCAGACACACTCCATAAAGGACAGACACAATCTATAAAACGTATTATTCAATGCTGGGTCACGCTCAACCTGCTTAAGCAGGAATCCTTAGTCTGCATTAATGACAGGTGGAAGTAAACAGATTCATAGAGCTTTTGGAAACGGATGCCTAAGAAAGAGATGATAATACAGCAAAATCCTATCATAAAAGCTTATCTTCAAATGTTGAACACAAGCTAATTGCGGCACTTAATCCCTAATCAACTTTGACATAGGGCTTCAAAAACAATGTGGTCAAATAATCAACAACCAACGAGGAGAACATCTCAAGCTTCAGAAGGATACTTTATTGATCCCTGCAGGGAAAGTCTCTTTTTGCCATCTCCGTCCTAGCCTCTTTAACAAAATCTCTACTCTCCTCATCAGGTATACCCCAGTCTCCCATGTGAAACCTGAGATTTAAAAAAAAAGTAGTTTTATTGTAAGGAGTCATTGTCAGAATAGCCAAACAAACCTGTAGCTCAGCTTACTAGGCACCAGATATCTCATTTGCTGCAATCGGGCACGGCACCTGGGTTAAGAGGGGCGTATGAAGCTGGTGGGCCCCCGCAGATTTTAATTAAGCGTAAAGGGTGAGCAGGAGAAAGGGCTCCGTTAAATACGAGACGGGTTTATATGATCCCTACCAGCTGCAGTGGATTACAGGCCCACGCCTGCACCTACTGCCCTCATTGCTGTGGCCGCTTTCTTATGAATCTGCAGACCAGCGTTTTGCTCTTTAACTCCACTGACCGTCTGGCCAGGGTTCAATCTCTGCACCCGCCGGACACGAATAGCCGATACACAGCTCTTTTTATTAATTCCCGGATTTGATATATAAATCTAAGATCCCAAATATAGTTTTATGGCAGAAATATCAAAACAACTTCATTGGAATATTTCCCATTAAGAACCAACTGGCACGGGCCTGTGATCCACACTTATGTGGTTTGGGCTGTGTAAGCAGTCTGTGACGATGTAACTGAGCTCTGTTAAGCTGGGGTTGGGTGACACTCATTGAAAGACCAATCAGGAAACTGGGAATGGAGAATGGTGGAAAAGGGGATGCAGGAAAGCCAGAGAAAACTGAAGAAGACAGACGAGCTCCTCGAGCGCAGAGCCAGGGCATAAACCCAGGATCCCTGGGGCTGGAAGCAGCACCACCTGTATAAACGTGCATCACCTGAATTCCCCGCATATTAATAGGCAATCACTCTTCTTCTTAGTCAGTACACAGTGGGTCCGTCATCAAGTCGATGCAAGGTAATACAGCAGAGGAAATGAGCGGTCACACTTCAGTGCCTGGTGAATTTCTGCTGCTCGGCTCATTGAGGTGTTCCGTACGGCCCATGAATGCTTCCTGACAGCACATATACAGCGTAAGCGTGTTTAGACAACGTGCTGCAGGCCTTCTGGTACACTCTGCTGGGCTCTTCACACACCAAGCCTTTGTGTTTAGTAAAGAGCACAGAAACAGCTTAAATCTTCGCATTATCAAGTGTATGTGTGTGTGTTGGGGGTATGTGTG